AACCCGGCATGTTCATCCCCTAGATACTTGGGAACGTCATTGGAGCGGAGAAACGCCCAACTTTTAATTCTGCGGCTCAGCGGAAAGCCGACCCAATATCGCGCAAAAAAAGACCCATTTGGCCGCGTAAGTCGCGTCACCCACCTGGGGAATCCACCGGAGTTTAAGGGCTCGAGATTTTTCCTGGGGATGTACAACGGACAAACCTCCGTTTTGCCATGCTAATCGACAGACCTCACGTTTAACAGTACTGTTTTTCGACAGTACTGTTTCGGCCTTCGGGGCCTCATCAGTGCAGGGCTGATGCTAGGATGGGGGAGAACCGACAGGGTCCTCCCAAACGACCCAACATTTGTGGTATCGTCCATGCCATGTCAGAGTGCGCAAACTAGAATAAACTAGTGAGCATGCGCAATTGCATGTATTTTCTTTTTCAACTGGAATTAATATTGATGTTCGTATTAGAATGTGCCCCGGACTGTACTGCGTAACAAAGCAGCTCCCCTTAAGAACTAACAGTCTCAGCGCAGAATGCCAAGTTCTTTTCTCACAGAAAACATTGCTGTTTTATATACTGTGCAGTGTACCAAATACAGAGACCCTTTTTTATCTTGGTTTGGATGAAGAAATGAAAATTTGGATGGAGGAGGAACTAATTTTCATGAGAAAAGATTGACAGATCAAAAATTTGTCAAATTAACTGTGGCAAGAAAATGAAGTTCTTATTTCAAGTCGGCAGCTGTGTACGCTAATCGTATTTCACGCTATCAAAGAGGACTTCTCTCGCCCTTCTCTCTCCTGCACGTCTCTGAACCTCCATGTAACTGAAGGTCTCTGTGCGAAATTTTCCGTGTTCAGTGTTTGGTGGCTTGTCATGCAAAATTGCTTATGGAAACTCATTGGCTCAATGATACCCAAGGGTAGGCCGTTTCGGCCGACACACAGAACAGTTCTAACAGAATTATTTCTTTTCGCAGCATGATGTCATTGAAGGACTTCAGCCGATATTTAAAAAAATGGTAATCTAATTTTGAATGTCTAAAAAATCATTAAATTACACATCAGTTTTTTTTTAATGCCACAATAAGCACATTCGATACTCCTGTAAAAGTGAGTTCAAAATGCAGAACTGAGCTTCATTTTGTTTTTACACGTACCAAAGGTTGATGTTGTGAAATATTTTCTCATTGACATGCGATGTTATTGTTTTCCAGGATTATTGTGCGTAAATCACATGAAGTGTATTGACAATGATATAAATCTCTTAAGCTGTTGTCACTATTGTTTCAATACCACGCTAATTAATATCGAAACTGTTCTTCACAAAACAAGAGTTGTTCAGTCTTTATTTCCGTGAGTGTCTACGGTACATGACTCAACTCTGAAGGACGAAGAAGACATGAATTAGCGCGGGCTGAGCTGAGATTTAATTGAGCAGTTGAAGCAGTGTGCTCACTTCTATTGAAAGAACCCGATATTTACTAATTAACTGCAAGATTCAAGAAATCAATATACGCTGAGAACAATCGAGACCAGGCGGCGTTTAGGAGGACTTCACCAAATTTAGCACCACTAAGGTGATGCAGCTCTAGTATAGATATCTTTGACGGTGAGTAGCGGTTGAACTTCTTTAGATTTGACATTGATTTTCCTCGACTAGGGATTCATTCATTCTTATGGGAGTATTTGATAAGCAACACTCTACCCCGTTTCTAGGGTGAACGTACGTTTTGAAATTGCCAATCGCGCAGAATACTCATAATCTTAGTCTAAGATTTTTGCATGGCATGCCAAATACGAAGGCGAAATCACTTTTTCTGCCTTCAGATTTGACAAACAAGCGACCGCCAATTCTTGATGAATCGATCTACCAATCTCAGGGAAGAAAAGCTTGGAAAATGGACGAAATATCTCACTTGCGTGAAAGGTAGTTTTGATAACCTCATGCGACGAAGTCACCGTTAGCTGCGTGCGTGAGTTCGCGGCACCCAGATTCTTCATTTATAGAGTTTGGAGCTTAAATTCAAAGAAAGATCTACTTATTTAGTTTTCTTGTTTATTTGCCAGGAAGTAAAAAGGCTTGATAAAATAGCAAGAGCTTATATAGAATATTGAAAAGCGATTATTGACAAGAGGATTATTGGGGTTTACTCAAATTATCTGGTAACTGCTTATCCGTCTCGAACAAATATTGGTAATAGATCGGGCGACAGAAGGTAATTTCAACGAGACATCCGTATTTCGGTGTGCTCGCATGCCTTGCGCTTTTCCAGAAACTTAACGGAAAACACATGATAATAATTTACATACGAAGTAATAGAAAATGTTTGTGTAACTTCTCGATTTTTCTACATTTCGATTTCCCACCTGTTATCTAAATTTAGCGCTCAAGTTAGTGATGCTATAATTGATAAGGAAAAGAATCGAGCTTTTCTTTGAACGACAACTGTATATTTTATTCGTTTTCCGAATTTCGGAAGATTTTGGTTTCAATTACAACAAAATTGTGTACAACACCGCTGCACCTTGCAACGATGTTGATGACATGGAATCGGTCAACTGCTGTGGGGCGTGTAATTCAGTCGAAGAGCCGGTTGAAATGATAATAGCTGCTCAAATACCCTGCGGCTACGCAGAACAGTTATAATGGTGTGAGGGTCAGTGCGTTTTTCGTTTCATTAACCTTGTCACCAGTGTCAACTTAACATTTTAGACAGACGGTCAGTAAACGTCGAGAACATCCTGGAAGTGATTTTGAATTCAAATCAGTGGTTTCCCGCCCAAATGGCGCCTTGATGTTCGCACTTTGGTCGCTAATTTCGCTTTTTGTTTTGTTTTGTTTTTTGTTTTTTTTAAGAATAATCATCTTTTTATAAACTGTCAGTCCAGGAATCAGTGCCCTCTATAGCGCCAATAACATAAACTCGGAAAGTCATCTAGGTGATATTTTCAAACTTCGGTTTGAATAAATATTTTGAAAAATTATTACCGCAGTGGAGGTGAAAATGGCGGATATTTAATATCTACTGTGTTTCAGCGAATTATCGATATTACTAATTGCATTTGTAAACAGCAATCATGTAAACTGTGGAATTTTCTTTGAAAACAAAACTCGCTTTTTTTTTCACTGACGCTTCACCGCACTCAGACCCACTAAAGGTGAATAGCGCTTTTAAATCTCTTCTAAATCGGCCAATTAAGGAAAAGGATCTACTGATTCAGTTACTGGTTTAGCATTCCGCTTCCTTTTCGGAAATCTGACAGCTACAATGCCTTCCTCTCCCAAAGAGAATCTGTCTTCAATAGTTGAACACGGGCCAATTGTCGAAAGAAAACAGCGTGATGATTCATTTACTGTTCATTATTTTTTTGTGACAAGACATCACAATGATCCCTTGTTTGTGAGTCGAGGTGAACATGAAAAAGATGAAAGTTCTCAAGGGGAAAACTAAGAAACCCTCAGTTTTTCCTGTTACAAAATTGATTAACTTTTTCCATTTTACAAAATTGAGTCAACTTTCGAGCGGAAATTGTGAAGAATCCTTGTAAGATTCAATCAATCAAATTCGGTACATTTTGTTTATCTTCTTTCATTTTTTTCTCAAGGGACTAATTGCTATCACGAGCAGTTTAAGGATGCAAATTAGTCATAAGGTGGATCTAAATACAAAGAGTTTTTAAATCTTCATCTGTCCGATTAGGATTAGAAATGATTTATTTACGTACAAAGAGACTTGACGACAATTATTTCTTCTTTTAGGGTGTAAGACCGTTGTTTCCAACGATACGGGAACGAAAAAAAGAAGAAACTGTTCGTGAGGAAGCCGGTTTTAAAATCAATAGTGCAATGTTAGGCGCTCTCATTAATTCTACTTATAAAAACAAGACTTGTTTAAGAAGGCATTTAACTCTTCTACTGACTCTTGCCTGCTAAAGTTCATGGCTTCGTCGATCGTCATAAATGTGAGGGGCACGCTTTGTTAATTAAGAAAGGATGCTTTAGTTTTTTTCACTCACCGTTCAAAATGAGGTTGTGCTGCAAAGAGAGTACTGGAACAATTACACTGTGCTAAATATCATATTGTCATTTTTGAGACTGGCTGCTTGTTTACCTAAATTGCGTTTAATAATGCACCGTAAGAAATGCCTTAATCACGCCTCCTAACAAATGACAGTTTCTTTAAGAAACCGCGGAACATCTTGCTCTCAAAGTTTCTCAATTATTTGCTTTGTCACTTAACTTCTTAAGTACTTGCTGACACAAAGTCAAAAATTTTGGTTGTACACATATAGTCGCACTTGAAAAGTGGTGAAATTTATTAGACAGTTACGTTGCTCAAGCACGTCCAATAAGCGAGTCGGTCTCTTCAAAAGGCATTTGATGAATGGAGTTAATTTATGTTTGTTTGCGCAGTGGACTGTAATCCAATCGCAAACAGCACGTTATATACACCTTCGATCTTCTTGAGATTCGAAGCCTTAACAGAGCATTTTTGTTTTCCAACAGTTTCGTCCTGGCGTTAAATAGTACGAGGTGTTCTCCGCCTGACAGTCATGTACGAAATGTCATTCGTTGACGATGACTCCGAAGATTTCAGGATCCAGGACTTGCTGGGCGAGGGGTCTTTCGCTCAGGTCTACAAATGCGTCGAGACCAAGTCACAAACAGTGTTCGCTCTGAAAGAATTTGACCAGAAACACAAGGAATTTGATGAGAAAGCTGTAGAACAAGAGGTACAAGTATGGAGTGATGTTGTTCACGAGAACATCGTTCGACTGTACGCGTCCTTTGCCGCAGGCTCTTATATGTACTTTGTCCTGGAATACGTGGACGGGGGAAGCCTATTTAATCACATGATGCAGAGGCACAAATATAGCGAAAAAGAAGCTGCGAACATTTTGAAACAGGTAAAGTTCAGCATTTTATTTATAGAATACTGCGGTTAGCTCACTGATGTAAGCTTTCAACGTGTAAAATGCAACTCAGCTGCCATTGGTCTTCTGTTACTAATTCTGAGTTTTTCATTTGCGTTAGCAGTTCAATTTCGGCATTAATCTAGTACTGTACCACTCATTTTACATCTTGTCATGAGCAAAAAGGATTTTATTTTCGGTGAGCGTGCCAACTTCGAAGCGTGTTGCACCATCAACAAACGCGATGTTTGTAGAATACGGTTTATCAGACCTCTTGAAACAACTATGACAAAAATGTAATGAGTTTGAGGTGAAATAGACCGGACCACCTTGTTCAGTTTATAGCACTTCAATATGTGACAAGGTTCGGAAAATTCCGCGAGAAAACTTGATGCACATTTTACTCATATTTTGTTTTGTTTTTAATTCGATACTCATTCGCTAAGCTAACCTTGGATTTTTCAATTTTTTATGTGAGACATTTTACAACCTTTTTATCTCACGTATGAATTTATCTGACCGAATCGAGTCATCATTAGTTCCGTGTTATCTTGAAGATAATATCTACATTCTCAATGATACAGCTAATCAAACAGCGGATTCTGATAAAAATATGTCAGCGATACCTGTAAAATTTGCGCTTTTCGTCCGCAAATGTATTTTACTTTTAATTTGGTGAACGTGTTTACTTTTATCAAACGTCGTTTTATGTTCAATTCAGAGGATAATTATCGGATTAATTTCTGTTTTGAAGCGTTTCAATATCAAAAAGAGATTTAGACAACGATTAAGGGTAAATTTTTTTAGATGCATAGATTGGCGAAAGTTTTAAAAAGTCCTGATTTTCGTTTTATGTTTTTGAATTCCATTCGTGTTTTTCAAACATTTTGTGGCGAAGAAAAACCAGCATAGTCTTATTTTGTTGTATAATTATGAGAATTTGTATCCGTGGAATTTATACGATGATTATTTTTTTTCCCTGCTACTTATCTGGGCACAGAGTAGAACCTTTGTCCAAGAGCGCAAAATATACCGTGACATCAATTTGACCTTGGCCACCGCGCTATAATTCAGCACAATATTCATTCAGTTGATATTTTTGGCACCTTCCATGTGATTCCAATTCTGACCTCTAACCTTTCAATCAATTTACTGCTGCTTTCCGTTGGTTGTATATACAACGAATCAATCAGTATTGCATCATTCCAAACTGTTTTGTTTGCCTCCGATGGCGCCCGCACTTTGATAAATCGTGTTAGTTTTTGTAAACAGAAGATGCATCAGAGGAGCACTAGCTGGTAACACGAATGCTTCAAAACGATCCCTTTTACAATAATCTTCGTGGCACGTGCAAACATGATGCGACTAGTGCAGGGCGAGCGTACTTCGCCCGTGGTAAAATTCGAGACGAGTTGGAAGAGGTTTTTCCGGGGGTCTGGCACTAATAATCAGTGTTGACCTTCGGGATCTCTCGCGTGTTCACGTCGCTCAAGGCCTCATACTTTCCCGCCGACGAAAGGGGCGCTCGCACCGAAGCACTGATAATAAAGACCTGCTGCAGTAAACTGTTAAGAGGAATCTTTTATATCCTTTTTTGTCTCGCCAACATCCAAGAATCTAATCCTAATCTAATCTGGTATCGCTTCGTAGGTACTTGAAGCTCTTCATTACCTTCACAAGAAACGAATCGTCCATCGAGATGTCAAACCAGATAACCTACTAGTCAAACAGGTTCCAGATACCGCTGGAAAATCTAAACAGCATCTTACAATCAAGTTATGTGACTTTGGATTTGCGTTCAAACTTCCACCAGGTGTCGAGGTCACGTGTTGTCCTCCGCGGGGCGCGCCGATGTTTTTGGCGCCAGAAACAATTCTCGACAATCCTATTGGTCGACCGGTGGATATGTGGTCCACAGGTGTACTTCTACACATCTTAGTGGCGGGCTATCCACCATTCTGGCACGACAACAGCGAGAAAATGCTACTGGCGGCGGTGCGAGGCCAGTTTAGTTTGACTACTCCAACTTGGAGCAAAATTTCCAAGTCCTGCAAAGATCTGGTCAAATCTATGCTTGCCGTGCAGACATCCCAGCGTATCACGGCTGTCGAAGCCATACGACATCCTTGGTTTTTCAACGTGTCAGAGTTGGACTCACCGCATCCGCGAAGAAAAAACAGTAGTGTGCTGTCGAAAAGTTCTCGACTGACAGAGAAGCTCAAGTGCACCATCAGCGAGATGCACTCAAGCATGAAGCTGCAGAGTTTGAGTCTCGATCCTTTGAAGGGAAAATTTTTTCCGCTCTATCACTCAGCAATGAATCTTTCCGAACTTAACAGATGATAGTAGCTGCGTTTGTCTCGCACAATCAATTTTGTTCAGCCTTGTCCGTACGGCATGCCATGGAAATCTTAACAGATTCGTTGATTACTAGTGTCGAGGTGGCGGGGCCGGGGTGTGCTCACATTTCAGACGCCAAGAAGTCTCGACAATCCTATCGCTCTACCAGCGGGATTGTGGTCAAGCAGTGTTCCCCTCTTTCTTTTTCTCGCTCTTGAGAGGATACCTCCTTCAAAAATCCCCTAAAATTTATTTTCGCTTCTCGTTTGTTTACCTGACTGAAGGAGGAACCCAAAGTTAAGTCAGATGGCCTGGTTACATATGCGCGCGCAAGGACTAATTCTTCTAAATTTTGATACGAAAAATCGAGTGCGAATGAAATTAAGTTATCAAAATTTTGTGCATTAAACAAAGTTTCTGGATTTCCTCTGAAATTCCCAACCATGGGATGGTCAGGTGGGACGGCATTTATAGACAATGGCGAGATAAGAAGGCACAGTGAAACGTCTGGTCCCAGTGTTTCACGTATTTAAGTGTTCTTACGTGGTCATCATTCACTCTATAAAGATTATTTTATTCTTAGTTTCATGATCAGCAAGAGTAATTCTTGGGATGAAGTTTCAAAATATGATCAACTTCTTCCTTTTCATTATTAAAAATCCACTCCTAAATGGTTCCAGATAACCACTAAACCTAAAAGAGTGCAAACACTGATGGAAACATTACTGTGCAGTTCAAATTACAGCATAGGCATTTCCACTCACATTCCACCTTGAAGATGTAAAAATTATTCCACTAATAAGCAAACCAAACAACAAAAACACCATCTTGACTGTATCACTAAAGGGTAATACAAAATAAAAAATTCAAATTATATGTTGTGTCACCCTTCTTCACCATTCTGACAATGACAACAAAACCAACCAGAAGACAGGTCAGTAGGCATGTCTCCTCCACATAAAAGAACACTGCTAAACCAAATGATCTAAAGAATTTTCTATGTGCAAGAAATTTCAGAGAGCAGACACAACTTCATTACGTAGAGTCACTCACATGGCACCATTTTGCTCAACATCATTCAGGGCAAACCATGTCAAAATCTCAAAATGATAAAAGAGGGTCTGGTTACTAGACAATCTGGCTCTATCAACTTCGTTGATGATGTAAATTGGCCATCATAAAGAGTTTCTAAGCTCTGACAAAGGGTCAACTCTCAAAATTGTCAGCTTAAGAAACTATTTACAATGGCACATTTTACATCATCAATTCAGTTGATAAAAATGATCTAACAACAACGACAAAATTTGTATTGAATAATGAAAGTGTGGCAACTTTCTGCTCTGAAAGCACGCCTGCAAAGGCAAGTTGAGCACAATAAAAAGAGAGTTGATCAGTAGCACAATCATTACTCCCAATCCTGTAACATGCCTTAAAAATAGCAAAATTGATACTTTTGACCCAAATCACTCTTTTAGCTTCATTTTACCCAGAATATGACAAGTCTTGCTGTTTTTTTGAAAAATATTTCATTTTTCGCATGTTTTGTAAGAGTTTTGATTTTACCCAGAATTCTTTGCGGGCGTGGTATTTTCAAGGTTATCAGCTCACCAATACAAGAAAACCATATAAATAAAACAATGTTTAACCTTTTAATAGACATTTCATATTACATGGAGGCCAGTATCTCCTCATTGAGAATCACAGGTACTCTATACACTGACTTTCTTCCTCTCTTTACAGTGCGAAGGTCAGAACAAATGTGCCTCACAGTCGCTGCATGAACAATGGCAACTTTACTTTCGTCAAGTTTATATGTCATGTCGATTAGGTTGTCTCTTAGGAAAAAGTTTCCTTTAAGAACTTCCTGCCCTGTGTTGTAAATGCTGCCATAAGCATCTGTCACATCTGCTGCTAGCTCCTCAACTCCGTCACTGTTGACTTTCAAAAGATAATAGTCATAGCTGGAGTCGGCATCTGCTGCAACTGCAACCACACTGCCTGCTACGGCTAAGTCAGCTATTCTGACAGCTGTTTCTGTTGTCACTGCCACAGTGTCTTCCTGTGCATTCCTAGTAATTGCTGGTGATGCTTCTCTTTCAATCTTCAGCTCTTTCCAGTCATCAACCCACTCAGAGTTAGCACAAGAGTCACCAGTTTCTAGCAGGCAGTCAAGACAATAGCAGGACCGTTCACGTGTGTACACCTTTCCTTGTTCTGTGGTGCACTTAACTGCATGGATCTTTCTGATTCCCTTGATCTCTCTAAATTTGCGCTCTGGTCTGTTTCTGTTGACTGATCCCTCGCCAGATGCTGGCACATAGAAGAAGAGGCGCTGTTTTAAGTTGACAGATTTTGTTCTTGACAAGAAGCTTGACGCAGTAGGCAAAGTAAAACTTTCTGTCAGGTAAGTGTGCATATCCTTGGCGCTTTTGATGGCGGCTGTTCGACGCAGTACTGCCTGGCTAACTTTCTGTTTTACATGAGAACCAGCAGCGTCCTGTTCGCCTTTGGCATGTGAGGTTTCGAAGAAATTGCGCTGCACTTTGAAGCCAAAGTCTGCAACGCAACAGGACAAATCTCCCAGGCAGTGGCGAGACTTGTACTGGGCTGCACACCCATCGGTAAATTCGTGCATAATTTTAACTTGTTGGCCAAGGTCGTTTGTGATGTAATTGTTCAGAAGTTCCTGTACTTTGTGAACAGAACTGTTGTCTTGAATGACATCATCGGAAATCACAAACACGTGCTCCTTTACAATCTCTGGGTTCTCCTCTGTACTTTCAATACCATCGTTAACTTCTGTAGCATGGCGGTAGAGTATAGTTACATGCAACGACACTTTCGCTACGTCAAAGTATTCAGACTGCGTCTCATCTTGCGACCTACAGGTGTATCCTTCTGAATAGTCATGAATGGCGACTGCATGATCAATAGGTAAATGCTCAAGCAAAGTGTCAAGCTGATCGCGTTGCCACTTGGCCATAAAGGAATGCATTGGATAATCTTTCATGAGGTTCTTGAAGTAGCCAAACATTTCTGATGGTGGTGTTTCTTTTGTTACAAGGGCCAGCTTCTTCTTTTCCTGACCATTTGCCAAAAATTTCCCTGTTGAGACATAATCGTAGCGTCTCCAAATAACTGTACCTTCAATTGATTCTTCCTCTGGAAGGAGTTTCATCAGGTGGACACCACAATGCTCACACTCTCTTTCCAAACAGGCCAGTTTATGGTAAGGATCTTCTTCTGCTTTGGGGCAAAGAGTCAGTTCTGCAGCTTCTGTAATAGTGGCAAGAACATTAACACTCTCATGATCTCTCTCCTTTAAGGCTGCTTTGCGAAATTTCATACAATCTCCAAGGACGATCTTGATCTCTACGTGCTTCCGACAAAGGCAGGACTTTCTATCGCGTTCTTTTGCGGCTTTCACGAAGAAAGGCTTGAGCGATTCAAATTTCCTTTGCTTTATCTTTACGCCAGGATAGAGGGCCTGGAATTCTAGGAATGCTTCTGTCTGAGACTTTTCCAGGATGTGCTTGGCATGTTCTGTATACTGGCTCTTTCCCGTACGATAGCGAACAAAATCCTTTTTGTCTCCTGTTGGACGGCTAGCTTGGGTCGTCCAAAAATCGTAAACATTCCTCTTGACCTCCTCAGGAACAGCATCAAATCTCACTTTCCTTTTAGAAACGAGCCAACTTGGTTCCTCCCCCTTCAAAATTTCCATTCTTCTTTTAATTCCACGTCCAATGCTCTTCCTGTTCAGAGAGACGACTTTTGCTAAAGAACGTTGGGCCCGAGATTTTTTTACGTTTTGTCCAAAAGCCAGGGACTTGAAGGCTCTCAAAGCAGTTCGTTTCTCATTCGAGCCACTCCTTTTAACTTCCTCTAAGCCCTCNCTTCATCTATTTGCCTTCCTGTGCCTTGCTATACACGTATGTTAAGCAGCATTTTCCACAGTACTGGCGGTCAAAGTGACTGGCCATGAAAACCCCTGCACCACACGACTCATTTGGACACTCCCTTCGTAGACGAGTGATCTTTCCATTTTCATTCACCTTGTAGTACTTCAAGACAGCCAGCTTGACCTAGTAAGGTACAAACATTGTGTGGTTAGCATACAATCTAAAGTACTACAACTTAATAATAATAATAGTAATTTTTATTTATATAGTACTCATATCTTAAATTCATGGCACTTTACAACACTGTACGGGGGACTTTACCAGACTGCAAAGCAGTTTACAATCAAATAAAGGCGAATATAACAGATGCCCCCTTCCCCCAATTCCCAGTAAACAGGCCAGACCACATCACAGTAATCTCATGAAGTGGGTTTTTTAATGTCCCCTGCCCAACCAAATCAACTAATTAATAGATGCTGGAGACGGGACATCCCTATCCGAGAAGACTAGAATATCTAACCATTTCTTGATCGATGTTATAGAAAGGTAGCATATTCTTCTCAATTATTTTAAGACCCTGAGTGTTGGTCTGACCGGGGCTCAAACCCTCGACCTCCCGTGCAACAGTACGGCGCTTAATCAATTGAGCTAACTGGGAGGCAGTTTGAGCTAACAGGGAGGCAGTTATAATGAATAATAATAATGCACCAAATGCAAAAGGCTATCTTGTCTAGTTCATTACACATTGCTAGAATGTTTAAGCTGAGCATTTAGATATCTTTAGGAATTTTGGACTCATTTTGACAGAAATTTCATCTTGTACATTTTTGAGATTTTATTACATATCTTAGGGTTCCCATAGGAACATGGACAGCTATATGAACGATGTTTTTCAATTTATGAACAGTTTTATTTTGTAATTAAGACATCCATAAAGCCTTTAGAATTAAATTTAGTTATTTATATATTTTTCTGACACTCTTATCAAATCATTTTTAATCAGGTTTCTCTTTTTTTGTGTGTGAGTTGGTTTGCTTGCTTTTCTTTTTGCGTAAATTATTGTGTAATTGTTGTCACAAGTTTTAGTCGATGCTGTGGCTGGTTACGGTTTGCTGCCCAGCCTAAGTTTTAATCTTTACCCTCGGCATCCAGACGTTTGTACTGCCAATTTATAATAATAGTTAAATATTTAATAATAATAATTTAATATTTATATTGCAAAAATTAACATGTGGATATGATCAAATGCACATCATTACATTTTTTGGGGCACTTTGGCTGGACTGCATCAGCAGTTTACAAACAATCGAAGGAAACTAATTTAAAGATGCCCCCTTCCCCCCCAATTCCCAGTAACCAGGCCAGACCACATCACAGTAATCTCGTGAGTGGGTTCTTTAACGTCCCCTGCCTAACCAAATTAACTAATTAATAGATGCAGGAGACTGGACCTACACTTTATTCCTCCTTATCCAAGAAGACTAGAATGTCTATCCATTTCTTAATATTATAGAAAGGTAGCACATTCTCCTCAGTTATTTTAAGACCTCGAGTGTTGGTCTGACCGGGGCTCGAGCCCTCGACCTCTTTCTCAACAGTCCCACGCTCTAACCAATTGAGCTAACCAGGAGCGTGTAAAAAAAGAAACCATGTAACTAAAGGACTCTTGCAAGTCATCATATTTTATAAATTATTCACACAATTCAGATACAGTTCTAGTGACCAGGTAGTGAGGAATCTGAAAAAAAAACTAAGGAGTTAATTGTTCCAATTTCTCACAAAATTCTAAGGACCAGACAACAAAGGAATACAGAGTAGATAGTAAGGAGATTAAAACTTTCAGATCTTGAGACTGAAAGGTTCATTTCACACAACTCTACAAAAAGCTTTTCAGCAGATAAAGTTATTTCAAGGATGTCCCACACGTTTATCAGAGCATTTTTTCCAAGCAAAACTCATTTACTGATAGTTCACTGATTGTAATTGGTGAATAAACAGGGCTTGACACTACCTTTTCAACTTACTAGCCAAGTGGCTAGTGGAAATAAAAAACCAATAGCCAAAACTGAATTTCTACTAGTCTGTCGCTAGTTGGCTACAATTAATGTCGAGCCCTGATAAAAAAGTCCTAATTGTTTAACCAACATTCATTTTTGTCAAATACATTAATATTACTCTTACCTTCTTCTTCTTGTGCTTGATCTTCTTGGGAGTGGTATAGTTCTTCTTCTTCCTTTTCTTGGCTCCTCCCCTCAGTCGCAACACAAGATGAAGGGTTGATTCCTTCTGGATGTTGTAGTCACTGAGGGTGCGACCATCTTCAAGCTGTTTTCCAGCAAATATTAATCTTTGCTGGTCAGGAGGGATTCCTATGGTAAATGGTGGTAAGCTTATTCCCCGCACCAAACAAAAATGATAATATACAACCAGAGATATTACTTGAAAAGTGCCCCAAAAATACCAGATGAGACTAAACTTTCAAATAATATCAAATCTTGGCACAAATAATAATCCAACTAGGGATAACCTTGAAGAAAAAAACCTAAAACTACTGCTTAGCCAACATCACCTCCCTTTACCTTCTTTGTCTTGGATCTTTGTTTTCACATTCTCTATTGAGTCACTGGGTTCAACCTACACAACACATGCAAATGTCACTCCATAAAACAATCTTGTACAATGAATCTTTAAGGTCCAGTCAGGGCTCGACACTAACGGTAGCCAATTGGCCACAGACTAGTAGAAATTCCGTTTTGGCTAGTAGTTCTTGTTTTCTGGCAAGTTTGGCTTGTAAACAAGCTGAAATTGTCGTAACATTTTAAGTTGTCACTTGCCACTTGGCTAGTACATTGGAAAGTTAGTGTGAAGCCCTGCCAGTGACAAAATTACAGCTACTAGCCCCTATTTCAGGAAATACACTTTTGCATTGTGCATGGAAACCACACTCTTAAGTAGCCAGTTTTAATAATTAACAGGCATCAGGAATATTCATCATTTCTTCATTCTTAAGGAAATCTGGTTGTGAAGGTAACTTAAGAAAAATAATAATAATAATTTACTGACTTCTAAGGAGCAAATTCTATGTATATATATTCAAATGCACCGAAATAATTAATCAAACAAAGATTTTAAATAAACAAAGTGCATGAAAATCCCCTCTGGCAGGAGGCAGACCAGTAGGCTATTTACAGAGCGCAGCCGAAGAATTGAACTTGGGGCAACCGAGAACAAATCCAGTTAGTAGAGGGTGAAGGACTTGAACCCAGGCCACTGGATTACAAATCCAGCACCCTTACCACTCCACCACCCTGCCTCCTCAAAAACAAAACAAAATAAATTGAGCAGCAAGTTTACTGACTATCTCCCTGGACTTGATCCATAGGCCAACATAATCATCAGATCATCTTCATTCCATGTTTCACTTTGGTTAAATCTTGTGTTACCATACACAAATTTCAAAATAACACCTTACCACTTAAGGCCACCTTAATGGTGGCCTTTAATTAAGGAACACTATAATTAATTCTTCTGTTAATTGCTACTGTGATCCACTAAGAAATAACTTGTTAATCATAGTTTGGTAGTCTCTCAATACATTTTGACAAGCTTGTAAGGGTCTAGTGTAAGTGTTATTTACTAAATGAGTTTGTATGAAATAGTTTTAATGCTTAGCGAGGAGATATTTAAAATTTTCCATGATTCATCTTATTTCTTCTAAAAGCCAAGACACTTCAGGGGTATTTGAAAACAACAATCAACTTGTTCTTCCCATCACAGTCAATTGTATCAAGGAAACCAAAAAAGAACATCCAAACCAATTGGAACATTCAAGTTACTTTTTCCACATAATGATACAAAAACGGAAAAAAACAGTTCATGAAATATATTCACATAAAACATACGCTTGCTTGCTTGCACGTGTCATAAACATATCTTCACGAACCTCAAGTGTGATGGTCTTGCCAGTCAGAGTTTTCACGAAAATCTGCATGGCTCCGCTTGAAAATTTTCTAAGGGATGGAAGAGCTATTAAAGAGTTGCTCTATCGAAAATAATTCGAAAAATTATCCGTAGAAGACAAGGAAAAAGTTAGAATTCTCAGTAAAATTCTTACCTCTCACCAAGATGGCGGAGAACCACGAGAAAAGAGGATGTTTAGGGGTGGTCTGCGCTCTATATCAGGGGGTTCGGACCGCTGATCGAAACGAACGCTGTTGAATATCGTCCCCATGACTTTAAGAGGTCTTGATTCAAGATGGCGGCGAGAACGGACTCAAACACACACCGAAGAAACCTAGTTTAGAAAGAGGTATTTCCTTTTGTATAAGGACCATCAACTTCTCGAAGGAAACGCAATGTTTTAAGGGGTATCCAGCAGGAGAGACTTTTAGACGTGGTGCGCTAATCTGATAGGTCCTTAGTATCATGATTTCCAGAAGTCATATTTTGAGCGATGTAACGCATTTTGCTCGAGGCATTTTCCTGTTTTAGATGATTACTCTTTCTGAGTAAAAGATGAATGACTGTTGTCAAGGGATCATTAAATGGTTTGTCATGGGGCAGCAAAGAAGAAAACCAAACCAGCAGCAAGTCAGTTCTTATTTAATTTAAATTAATTCTTGGTATAGCTCACGCTTTGCTTTTTTTTGACGGCA